GGGACGCTCGGCCCGAGCAAGCACTAGGCCCTGGTTCCAGGCGCCACCCGGAGGACCCGCAACACCAGAGACAAGAGCAGTTATTTATTGACACCATATACTGGGCTTGGGCTTTAAAAGAGAGGATTGAGTTTAATTCTTCCTGCAGTTAATTCAGTATACCACTTAGGTTTTACTTTTTCCCCTTTTAAGAAACTTGCATCTTTTTCCTAATCTCTCGCCCCTGTATCTCCTTGTACATCTGTGGCCTGGGCATCGTGCGTGGCACATAAGAATCTTGCTATTCTGCGCACCTTGACTTGTGTTTGCCGGGAGCAGTGTCACTTTTTCCTCAGCTTAGGTGAGCTGAAGATAGGAGGCCAAAGAGAAAGCTTCTCAACAGCCTGCCTACTTGCAGGGTTCCCCAAGTGGATGCAAGACTCCTGGGAGCCACTGGGAGTATTGTGGGTCTGGTGTCATGTGCTTTCTCCAGCTCTCTGTAAGGGGTCGGGACCCTTTTCCAAGTTACCCCTCCCCCTGCCCATCACTTCCAGGACACCCCACTCCCTCTTAACATTGCAACCAACTCTATTGATAGCCAACCCAGGCTCTTCAGTTCCAGTGAATTCCCAGATGAGAGAAAGGCAGAGGAGCAAGCAGGAGAGGAAGGAGAAAGGAATGAGAAAATGGGTAAAATCATGCTGCTCAGTAGCTGCTGCTGATGTCCCAGAGTCCTGTGTGGCCCAGGCCAGATCAAATCAGATTTCTACTGATTTGGGAACATGCAGAGTCAGCCAGAGAGAGAGAGAGAGAGAGAAAGAGAGAGAGAGAGAGATACTTCATTTAGTTGACCTTACATAAATGTCCAGAAGCTAACAGCCACCAGTTGGAGCACTTCTTGTATGACTCTCATGATTTCTCAATAAATTTAGCATTAAAGTACTTATACAAGTTTTTCTTTTCCTGGTGCACATATTTTTGGTGGACTCTGGACATGCATGTATATGCATACTCTTACCCATATACACACGGATACACAACTACTGGCTCAGGGGCATCTGTGTGTTTCCTCCTAAATATTCTTGCATTTGGTTGGGAATAATTTTTCTCTGGAGGCAGTTTAGAGAGTAGCACGCCTCTAAAAGCTGAACCACATCAGACCACAATGCTTGAGAGGGAAAGCTTCCTGGTCACACCAGACTCATGTCCTGTGGCACGTCCAGCCATTCGTCTTTTTTTCCAGTCTTGCTTATCTGCTCATGGACTAAGTCTGCTCTTCTCTTAAGAGAGATGGAGGTGAGAGGTAGACAGTGGGGGGGCAGTGTGCCTGGGAAATGTGCTTGAAACTGTAAAACAGAGGGGTTTTGTTTGGATGTCAACTTCATCCACATATTTGCGGATTAAAAATACTTTTTATAGCAAAACAAGCAAAGACATTTTAGAATAGAATCAAAAATCATAAAACTATTAAATCTAAATCAAGAAACTTCAAGACAGTTGGTTGTACTTTGTCCTGTGATTTTTGCCCAGACCTAGCCCTTGAGGGCTTGCTTTCAGTGCAGTTAGGGCTACTCGTGAGGCAGTTTAATAGGCACTGCTGTGTCCTTCCTGGAGTGACGATGAGTAACAGTCATCCTAGGCTTTCTCATTTACTCTTTCTTCAACCTGAGCCAGGGTTAACAACCTTGTTTGATGAGAGGGACCAAGGCTCAGGTCATGGTCCTTGGTCAATCAAGGTCAAGGTCAGAGATAACTGGAGAACCAAGGTTTAATTCGATGTAGATGGCAAAGCCTGTCTCTTATCCTGCCTGCCCTACTGTGACACCATCCTCCTCAGCTTCTTGTCAGGGTGTCATATGAAAAATAGTTGAAAGAACTGGTAGAGTGCTTTACCTATCATGTACTGGAACCCAAGTGCCATCCCCATTACCACACACACACACACACCTGAATCTACTTCAACCAGAAAGGGAAGGCTGTGGGCCTGTGGTATACATTAGCAGCTCTAAATTCCTTTTTTCCCCCAATGCTGCAGATGAAGCCAGGAATGTGTTCTATAATTGAAGTACATCCTCAGTCTTTTTTTTTTTTTTCTTTTTTCCTGAAACAATGTCTTGTTAAGTTGTCCAGGCTGCCCTTGAATCTGCAATCATCTTGCCTCAGCCTCTGAAGTATCTGGAATTAACAAGTATGCACCACTATGCCCACTCAGTAGTGACTACATTCTTGAGGGATGTGGCATGTGGACGAGGGAATAAACTCATTCGCTGTGGCACTGCACAGGAATAGGCAGGAGTTTTTTGAATGTGGGTTCTGGTTGAATTTGAAGAAGTGGCTTTTGAAACCCATAGGTTTGGTGGCCTTTGGGTTGGTGAGACCTTTTTCATCCTTTTCTGCTGGGGTTGTGAAGGCAGAAGATTAAGATAAGATGACCTTGGGCTGGGGATTTAGCTCAGTGGTTCCATTGCCTGTCTCTCAAGTGCAAGGCCCCAAATTTCAATCCCTGGTACCAAAAAAAAAAAAAAAAAAAAAAAAA